TCTTATGAGGTGACGCTTCGCTAAGTACTTCTTTGAGTGACGCTTTGCTAAGTATTCTTATGAGGTGACGCTTCGGGTTATTCTTTGAGTGACGCTTTGCTAAGTAATTCTTTGAATGACGCTTTGCTAAGAATTCTTATGAGGTGAGAATTGCCAAGTAATTCTTTGAGTGACGCTTTGCAAAGTAATTCTTTGAGTGACGCTTTGCTAAGTATTCTTATGAGGTGACGATTTGCTAAGTAATTCCTTTGAGGTTTGCTTTGTTGAGTGATGCTTTGCTAAGTATTCTTATGAGGTTTGCTTTGGTGAGTGATGCTCTTTGTGATGCTTTTCTAAGTAATTCTTTGAGCGACACTTTGCTAAGTATTCTTATGAGGTGTGCTTTGTTGAGTGATGCTTTTTGTGGTGCTTTGCTAAGCGATTCCTTGAGTGATACTTTGCTAAGTATTCCTTTGAGGTGTGCTTTGGTGAGTAATGCTTTGATTGGTGCTTTGCTAAGCGATTCCTTTAGTGATGTTTTGCTAAGGAATTCTTTGAGTGACTTTTTTTTAATTATAATGCAGTATGCAATGAGGGAATTTTGTCAGGACAGTGGCAACATCCTTGTGGAGTCTCCAAAAGGAACAGGAAACTCAGAGTGTTTTAGGCCGAGGACTAGAATGTACCTTTAGACACTGATACTTATAACTTAGAAATACTCTAACTGGTCAATTTGTTATTTGATTGTCAACCTTATCACTGATTTGATTGTCAATCTTTCCACTGATTTGATTGTCAATCTTTCCACTGATTTGATTGTCAATCTTACCACTGATTTGATTGTCAACCTTACCACTGATTTGATTGTCAAACTTATCACTGATTTGATTGTCAACCTTACCACTGATTTTATTGTCAAACTTATCACTGATTTGATTGTCAAATTTATGCCTGATTTGATTGTCAAACTTATCACTGATTTGATTGTCAAATTTATGCCTGATTTGATTGTCAACCTTACCACTGATTTGATTGTCAAGTTTATGCCTGATTTGATTGTCAAACTTGTCACTGATTTGATTGTCAAATTTATGCCTGATTTGATTGTCAATCTTACCACTGATTTGATTGTCAACCTTACCACTGATTTGATTGTCAACCTTACCACTGATTTGATTGTCAAATTTATGCCTGATTTGATTGTCAATCTTACCACTGATTTGATTGTCAAGTTTATGCCTGATTTGATTGTCAAACTTGTCACTGATTTGATTGTCAAATTTATGCCTGATTTGATTGTCAACCTTACCACTGATTTGATTGTCAAATTTATGCCTGATTTGATTGTCAATCTTACCACTGATTTGATTGTCAACCTTACAACTGATTTGATTGTCAAATTTATGCCTGATTTGATTGTCAAACTTGTCACTTATTTGATTGTCAAATTTATGCCTGATTTGATTGTCAACCTTACCACTGATTTGATTGTCAAA